TTATGTGTGTTATGTGTGTTATGTGTGTTATGTGTGTTATGTGTGTTATGTGTGTTATGTGTGTTATGTGTGTTATGTGTGTTATGTGTGTTAAGTGTGTTAAGTGTGTTAAGTGTGTTATGTGTGTTATGTGTGTTATGTGTGTTAAGTGTGTTAAGTGTGTTAAGTGTGTTAAGTGTGTTATGTGTGTTATGTGTGTTATGTGTGTTATGTGTGTTATGTGTGTTATGTGTGTTATGTGTGTTATGTGTGTTAAGTGTGTTATGTGTGTTATGTGTGTTTAGTGTGCTAAGTGTGCTAAGTGTGTTAAGTGTGTTATGTGTGTTATGTGTGTTATGTGTGTTATGTGTGTTAAGTGTGTTAAGTGTGTTAAGTGTGTTAAGTGTGTTAAGTGTGTTAAGTGTGTTATGTGTGTTATGTGTGTTATGTGTGTTATGTGTGTTAAGTGTGTTAAGTGTGTTACGTGTGTAACGTGTGTAACGTGTAACGTGTAACGTGTAATGTAAATATTATCATGTTATGTGATAAACACCTAACACATAATTTACACATAATATTTTACGCATATTTACAGCCTGCTGGTGGGTTACGTCATATTTCCGAGTGTCAACCAGAATCAAATAACTGCCAGCGATCTCCCATTTGTCTCCGCATCGGTGAAGACGGACACCACCCCACGAATTTCTCCTTCTCGTTTAATGCAGGTGGGGATACCGATCACAGAGTAGTCGCTACCAATTGCGAGTAATTGATTTCGCGCGGATGTATGGGGTTAATCTAAAACTTCAACTCTAATTTAACAGAAACAGTGTAATGGATCGCACTGATAAAGTTGTAAGGACAGTTAAATGTTTGCGAGTTATATGTCTATATAGTTTGTAACCAAAGTAAATTTAATTTAGATTATAGAAAGAGTATTAGGTATCTAATAAAGTCCATTCTAATATAATCGCGCCGATTTCGGTACATCATAATCGTTGTTTAGTGACATTACAGCAGGCTTTCAGAAGGTGATAATTATTGATACTTTCCTATGCTGTTTTCAGAGGGTGTGTACTGCTCAGTAACCGTTAAGTGCACACTGGATCAGCAGATCTATCCCGATAAAGAATGGAACGTGAAAATTCATGAGCAACTAGCTCATTTGACATTGAATGGCGCACCAGGCAATGGTGTAATAGAATACCTTTACACGTGAGTTCTAAACTACACACAGCGATGCTAAATGACTATGATTATAACCTCATACATACATACCCTGACTTGGCTTGTAATGTGTGGAGAGACGTTCTGTAAAGGTATTATCGTTGTGTTTATTTTAGGCACGATGGAAAGCGCCCCTTTCAACGGATGCAATCAGTGCCATCACTTACAGAGTCTGAGTCCAAAGGTGCTCGTTTCCCTATTTTATAGTAACGGAGACTGCGTGATCTTTCGCAGAGTACGATGCCATCCGCATGTAACGTACGATTGCCAATGTCTTTAATAATGTAATATGTAACGTACATCAGGGTAATAATGCAGTCGTGATGATCGGGTTAGGGTTAGGTGAAGGCTATGGAAATAATTATGGATAGGATTAGCAGTCATTAAAGTTAGAAGCAGGAGTTAAGATTTAAGAGTTACGGTAGTTGTGGCGGTGTTGATTATGATAATGATGATGATGATGATGATGATATTGACGATGATGATGATGATGACGTCGACGACGACGACGAGGACGACCACGATGAGGATGATGCATGCCCATGTGTTTAAAGTGTACCTGAGCCCAAGAATCCAATACACGTAGTACACCATCACTACGTAGTTATTGTGAGCCTATACTGAGTCTTTTATACCCGTCTAGATTCATGTTCCGAGGCCCTCGTGGTACCAGCTAAAGAAAGGTGTTGGCCTTCAACACTTATAGGTGGAAAGGGCTTGCAACTCTCACTACTATCTGTCCTGAGCAAACGAACACCAGCGAATATGGTAAAAATACCAAGTGAATAGTGGTGAATACGGCTACAGCTACCGCTACGGCTACCGCTACGGCTACTGCTACCGCTATTGCTACCGCTACTACTACCGCTACTGCTACTGCTACTGCTACTGCTATTGCTACTGCTACTGCTACTGCTACTGCTACTGCTACTGCTACTGCTACCTCTACTACTACCGCTACTGCTACTGCTACTGCTACTGCTATTGCTACTGCTACTGCTACTGCTACTGCTACTGCTACTGCTACTGCTACTGCTACCTCTACTACTACCGCTACTGCTACTGCTACTGCTACCGCTATTGCTACCGCTATTGCTACCTCTACTGCTACTGCTACTGCTACTGCTACCGCTCTTGCTACCGCTATTGCTACCGCTACTACTACCACTACTGCTACTGCTACTGCTACTGCTACTGCTACTGCTACTGCTACTGCTACTGCTACTGCTACTGCTACTGCTACCGCTACCGCTATTGCTACCTCTACTACTACCGCTACTGCTACCGCTACTGCTACCGCTACTGCTACCGCTACTGCTACTGCTACTGCTACTGTCACTGCTACTGCGACTGCAACTGCTACTGCTACTGCTGCTACTGCTGCTACTGCTGCCGCTCTTGCTACGACTAATAATGCTACTGCTACCGCTACCGCTATTGCTACCGCTATTGCTACCTCTACTACTACCGCTACTGCTACTGCTACTGCTACTGCTACTGCTACTGCTACTGCTACTGCGACTGCGACTGCAACTGCTACTGCTACTGCTGCTACTGCTGCTGCTCTCGCTACTGCGATTACTATTCTGTGGCTACGACTAATAATGCTACTGCTATTGATGCTCCCACCGGATATAACCAGCACCCAAGCTACAGTTGCTACACTCACTACTGCAAGTACCTCCGGCGTCCTCCGCCAATAGTTTTTATCATATTTTTTCGTTTTTTTGAAATTAATTATCATACGTAGTTTCTCATAATCGCGTGACGACAAATTATATAAT